TTGGGGAGGCCAGGAGCAGCTGCGTCCCAGCCTGAATCCCAGTCATTGGTTTGACACATACGTTCCACATCGTAGGTTTATTATTACCTTGTCTCCACTTCGAACCGTTTCTGAAATCGGGGATGGTAGAAATTAGAAATGGATTTGTAAATAAAATATTTGGTCAAAATGGAACAAGTCACACTGGGAGGGAAAATACTGCGATGAATGTGATTAAAATTTGTCTTCACCGGCACAACCAGAAAAAAAATAGCGGTATACAGAGATGCTTGAAATTTTCAATTTAAGGAGGGGCTAAGAGCCAAGCCACTGGAGCGGGTCCTACCAAGTGCTGGCCAGAGAGAAAGGGAGCCATCTCTTGGTTCTTCCAGGAACCGAGGCAAAGGCCAAGTGTGCATTGGTGAGGGCGCTCATCAGACAGGTGGGAAGCCAGCAGGTTTTGCCATTACTTTCTTTTTTATTTATTTATTTTTTTGAGATGGAGTCTCACTCTGTCACCCAGTCTCGAGTGCAGTGGTGCAGTCTTGGCTCACTGCAATCTCCGCTTCCCAGGTTCAAGCGATTCTCCTGCCTCAGCCTCCCAAGTAGCTGGGATTACAGGTGCCCACCACCACGCCTGGCTAACTTTTTGTTTTGTTTTGTGTTTTTAGTAGAGATGGGGTTTCACCATGTTGGCCAGGCTGGTCTCGAACTCCTGACCTCAAGTGATCCACCTGCCTCTGCCTCTCAAAGTGCTGGGATTACAGGCCTGAGCCACCTGCACCTGGCCAGTTTTTGCCATTACTTTCAATGGTAAAAACTGCAATTGTATTTGCACCTACCTGATAGTTTCTTTTTTTCTTTTTTTGATGCCCTGCCCAGCAAGATAGTTTCCATATTGTTAATTGTGGAGATTTGCATTAATTTTAATTTTAAAAAATATCTCACTCAGTATATCCAAAACATCCAGAAGTAGGACTGAAGCAGAGCGTGAACCTGTGTTGACAGCGGCAGTAAGTCAACCCCGCATCCGTCAGTGCGTGAGCGGTTAAACAAAATATGGGAGTACGTAGAATGGGGTATTGCAGAGCCTGCAAGCGGAAGGAAGCTCTGATACCTGCCCCAGTGTGGATGAACCCTAACGGCATTAGCCGTCAAGGGAAACGAGCTAGTCACAAAAGGACCAATACTCCGTGGTTCCACTGATCCGAGGTACCTAGAGGAGTCCAAACTCCCAGAGACAGAAAGTGGAAGGGTGCTGTGGAAAGGAGAGGATGTGGTTAGTGCTTGTGAGTTTCAGTTTGGGATGACTAGGAGTTCTGGAGACGCCCGGTGGTCAGAGTGACACAACAATGTGAGTGTATTTAATGCTACCGAACTCTACGCTTCAACATGATTAAGGCGGTAATTTTATGATGTGTGTATTTTGCCACAGTTCTAAAAAAAATCACACTGAAGTATGGATCTTGATGTCTTAGCTGCCAGTCCTGCCTTTGTTACCTTCTTTGCCTCAAGGAAGATTATGGATGTAAAAACGCTGAGAAAGCCCAGGCAACATGGCGAGTCTCCGTCTCTACAAAAAATACAGAAATTAGCTGGGCATGGTGGCGCACACCTGTGGTCCCAGTTACTCGGGAGGCCCAGACGGGAGGATGGCTTGAGCCCAGGAGGTCGAGGCTGTAGTAAGCTGAGATCGCACCACTGCACTCCAGCCCGGGCGGCAAGTAAGACTCTGTCTCTAAAACCAACCAACCAACCAAACAAACAAAAAACGGTGAGAAAAGGCAAGTATGACGGAACGTCAAGGTGTGCTGGGTGCTGAAGTCACCCAGTTCCGGGAGGCCGAGGGGGGTGGGTCACCTGAAGTCAGGAGTTTGAGACCAGCCTGGCCAACATGGCAAAACCCCTCTCTACTCAAAGTACAAGAACTAGCTGGGTGTGGTAGTGTGCGCCTGTAGTCCCAGCTACTCAGTAGGCAGAGGCAGGAGAATTACTTGAACCTAGGAGGTGGAGGTTGCAGTGAGATGAGATGGTGTCACTGCACTCCAGCCTGGGCGTCAAGAGCAGGACTCTGTCTCAAAAAAAAAAAAAAAAAAAAAAAAGGTCACACAGTTCCAAGCAAGGAGTGAGGAGCAATGGGTTTCTGAGGCCAACCACAGGCTTCAGGGCGGATGGCAGTGTGGACTTTGAAGTGAGGCCTTTAGTCCCTGGCAAAGCTGACCATTGCCCCCTCTAGACATCCTTCCTGGCAGGGAGCATTTGGGTGGGGACTAAGATGTTTCCCCGCATCGGTTTGGTTGACTCTATTTTGTTCTGCTGTGTTGCCTCTTTCTGGGGCAGACGCCGGGATGTGTGACTCTCCAGCGGCCAGTCTCCAACCCAAACTGCGGTTTGCATCGCAGTTCCGGCTGTGCTGAAGTATATCTTGAAAGAGTTAAAACCCTGGGAAGCTGAATCTATTCTGTTTGGTGGGTATTCCATTCAGATGTGTTTTGGGGGGACTGGCACGTAAGCACCCATGGGGAAGTAGAAGATGCATGCCAAGGCCAGGCGCGAAGGCTCACCCTGATCCCAGAACTCTGGGAGGCTGAGGCGGGTGGATCACCTGAGGTCAGGGATTCAAGACCATCCTGACCAACACAGCGAAACCCCGTCTCTACTAAAAATACAAAAGTTAGCCAGGCGTGGTGGTGGGCAGCTGTAGTCCCAGTTACTCAGGAGGCTGAGACAGGAGCATTGCTTGAACCTTGGAGGCGGAGGTTGTGGTGAGCTAAGATCACAGCACTGCACTCCTGCCTGGGTGACAGAGCAAGACTCTGTCCAAAAAAATAAAAATAAAAATAAAAAAAAGAAAATACACGTTAGTTGCATTCTGCTGACAGTAAAAATAGTAACAAAGCAGTAATATTGGAGCCAGGCATGGTGGCTCACACCTGTAATCCCGGCTACTCTAGAGGCTGAAGCAGAAGACACTGGAGC